AAATTTTATTTATTTATTTATTTGTGTGTGTGTGTGGCGCCAGCTCAGCCCACCAGGGGGTGGGGCTGGCTGGCATGTGGTGCTGGGGATTGAACCGCGGTCTCTGCTTTAGTTTAGCTTGTTCTAAGTAGGTGCTTTAGACCACTGAGCCATCTCACCAGCCCATAGACGCACATGTTTAATACTGCATTGTTTCTCTGGTGAGAAACTGAAAGTGTAGTAACCAAAATGTATAAGAGATACAAGGAAATAGGAAGGACATGCTCAAATGAGAAGGGGAACTAGGGAGGAGGAAGGGGGAAAGGAAGGAAAGGAAAGGAAAAAATATGAAAAAGGAGGACAAATGAAAACAAAAATTTTGTAAATAAGGAGATCAAGGATAAAGGGAGGGGAGGGGAATGAGAATTAAGATATATCCTGTGCAGGTACAAGTTCACTATAATGAATGATCATTTTGAATATCTAAAATGTACCAACCAAAAAGAGAAAAAATAAAATGCAAAATAATATAACCACCATGGACAACAGTATACAATGACCTTAAAAAAGTAAACACAAGGGCCGGCCAAATAGCTCAGTGGATTAAGGCGCCTGCAAGTAGGCACTGGAGCTGGGGGTTCAATCACCGGGCCTGCTGTGTGGGCCCTGTCCCCGGGATGCGAAGAGTCAGCGACTGGGTGCGGTGGCGCACACCTTTAATCCCAGCTCTTGGGAGGCTGTAAACAGGCAGATCACTACAAGTAGAATCTAGTACTGAGACTCTGAACACCCTGTAAGGCCCTTCCCTAAAATTAAAAAAAAAAAAAAAAGTAAACACAGATGTTCCATAAAATCCAGAAATTCAGGGCTGGCCAGATAGCTTAGCAGATTAAAATGCCTACTCAGGCAGATGCAGGGATGGGGTTCGATCCCTCATGTGGCGTGGTGTTGCATGCCAGCTTCCCCCCGCCAGGTGAGCTGAGATGGCAACTGAGACTGGCATGGTGGCACCAGCACTTGGGAGGCTGAAAACAGGAGGATCACTAGGAGTCCAATCTGTGTAGTGAGACCCTTTAGGCCCTATACTAAATACATTAAAAAAAAAAAACAAAACCAAAAACAGAAATTCAACTTCTAGGGGCCGGGGATCTACAACTGTATGCTGAGTAAAAGCAAATGGGTACAAAACCAGGATATCATATTACTGCATTTATATGAAATGTTGGACCATATACAAAAATCTCAAGCCAGGCATGGTGCTGCATGCCTATAATCCCAACACTTGGGAGGCTGAGGCAGGAGGATCCTTGTGAGACCAAGATCAGCCTGGGCTACAAAGTGAGCTCAAAGCAACCTGAACGGCATGGGGACACCCAGTCTCAAGAAGAGAAAAAAAAGTCTAATGACAACAAATTAATCGTTGCCTGGGGCCTGTTTTTGGAAAGGATTAACTATACAGGGGCTGGATAGATGGCTCAGTGGTCTAAAGCACCTACTTAGAACAAGCTTAGCAAAGCACAGGGACCACGGTTCAATCCCCCAGCACCACATGCCAGCCAGCCCCGCCCCCTGGTGGGCTGAGCAGGCCACACACACACACACACACACATACACACACAAAAATAACCAAAAAACCCTGCCAAAAAAAATAATAAAATTTTTCAGGCTTCAGAGATAGCTCAGCGGCATAAGCACCTGCCTGGCAAGCACAAATATCCCTGGTACCGCATGCTGTGGGGGCTTCGGAACCCTGGGTGCATTGTGGGGGCCCGAAAACGAGTGTTGGGGTACACACCTGTATTCCCAGCACTGGGGAGGCAGAGACAGGAGGATCACTACAAGCCTGAATTGCGCAGTGAGCCCATGTACCAAATAAAAAAATAAAATAAAAATGTCTTTATTTTGGAGACAGGGTCTCACTATGTAGTTCAGGCTGCTCTTGGACTCACTATGTGGCCCAGGCTGTCCTGAAACTCACAGAAATCCTCTTGTCGCCGCCTCTCATGTGTGGGATTAAAGGTGTATGCCACCATAGCCCACCTATGGGTATATGCATTTTTTTCCCCCCTAACCCTAACCCCAACCCTAACCCTAGGGTATATGCATTTGATAACACTTATAAACCTATGTACTTAACATGCATAAATTGTAAACAAATTCCCCTTAAATTTACTTGAAGATAAAAATAACCAAACATGGTGAATTCCTACATTTCGAGCACTTGGAAAGCCAAGGCTGCAGGATTACTGCCTGTTTCTTGTTTTTTTTTTTTTTTTTTTCAGAGCCAGGGATTGAACTCAGGCCCTTGCGCTTAACAGGGAAGCGCTTATTCTACTGAACCATCTCCCCAGCCCTACTGCCTGTTTTGAGCTACATATTAAGACACTGTATCTTTTTTTTTTTTTGGTGGAACCAGGGATTGAACCCAGTCCTTTGTGCTTGCCAGGCAAGCGCTTATTCTACTGAGCCATCTCCCTGGCCCAAGACACCATATCTCAAAAGAACAAAAAAAAATTACAAATAATAGCTTTGTTGGGGTTTGATCCCTGGCGTGCTGTGCCGGCCCTGCTCCCGGAGCACCACTGAGACAGTGACTGAGAACGGGTGTGGTGGCACACTCCTGTAATCCCAGCGCTTGGGAGGCTGAAAACAGGAGGATCACTACAAGTCTGATCTGTGTAGTGAGACCCTGTAGACCCTATGCTAAATACATTAAAAAAAAAAATAGCTTTTAGAGTTGCCATATCAAAATATCATGGGATAGGCTCTTTTACAACAATAGCTTATTTTCTCCTGGTTCTGGAGGCTATAAGCCCAACAGTAAGATACCAGCAAGGCTGGTTTCTTCAGTAGTGGCAGTCTCCTTGGCAGGCAGAAGGTTGCCTTCTTTTCTTTCTTTTTTTAAGCTTTCTTTCTGTGTCTTCACATGGTCTTCTGGGTGCAGATATTTTTTGCTCTTTCTTTCTTTTTTTGAGACAGGGTCTTGGATGTAGTCCAGGCTGGCTTCGAACTTGTAGCACTCCTCCTGCCTCAGTCTCCTGGTATGTACAGATATTTCTGTGTCTCTGTATTTTTAATTTAAAAATATTTTTATTGGAATATTTCTTGCAATACATGATTACAGTCATTGTGGGAAGTATGTAATTCTGTATTATTTCAACTTGCTATTACAAAAAATAAACTAGGTAAGGGAATGGTGACAAATACCTGTAATCCCAGTACTCTGGGAATCTGAAGCAGGAGAACCAATATAAATTCAAGGTCAGCGTGGGGTACATAGTGAGTTCAAGAACAGCCTGAACTACATAGCCAGACCCTACATAACAAAACAAGTAGCTCAGTGCAAAGGCCCTGGGTTCAATCTCCAGTATAGAGGTGTTCATTCTCCACATGGGGGACTAAAACTAAATAGAAAACTGGTTGGTTGATTTGACTGTAGTACCGGGGGTTGGATATGGAGCTTTTCCACTGAGCTACACACCCAGCCTGGTTTTTTTAAATTTTATTTTATTTTTTTAAATTACAAGTATCTGCCATCATGCCTAGCTAAATATAAGATGGTTTTAAAAGAGACTTTAGGTTTAACCCTGTAAAAACAAGGAGGTACTGCCTACACAATAACAACCCCCACTGCCCTGTCCTATGTTTGAGGTACCCTTAGAGGGGTCTCAATACAGCATGGCAGATAGATGCTGAAAACCCTCTGTTCTCTAGGGGATACTCCAGTCCCGGCCCTCCGAGCAGTGTCAAGTTTCCTGTGGTTTGCAAGGGAAGGAGGAGCAAGCCCAAGTGTCAGGTGGCCCAGCAGTTTCAGGAGGAGAGGAGGATACCAGGCTCTTCCCTCTGGATGACCAGCCTGTAACTGCATGATTCCCACACGAGGTAAAGGGTGGTGGGCAGGCTGGGTTGTGTGCAACTTCTTTAAGTGAGCGGTTCTCCATCGGGACGTAACCTTAGAGCTCTGGTCAAGAAGCCCGCGTTCCAGCTGTGCCTCTGGGATGCACCTTGCGTAGGTTTACTTAGCACGGGCTTGGTTTGCTCTTCTGAAAAATAGGAATGGTGGCTGCCCTGCCTGACACAGATCGCTAAATGGATTATGCAAGCTAAAATATGTGATATGTGTGGTACGAAAGGTAAACAGCCATACACAAATGAAAAAGCTTTTTTCCAGAAAAATAAACTATAAATTCTTTATTTTATTTTTTATTTATTTATTTGTGTGTGTGTGTGTGTGTGTGTGTGTGTGTGCCCAGCTCAGCCCACCAGGGGGCGGGGCTGGCTGGCATGTGGTGCTGGGGGATTGAACCGTGGTCCTTCTGCTTTGTTAAGCTTGTTCTAAATAGGTGCTTTAGACCACTGAGCTATCTCACAGCTCCTACAAATTCTTTATATATGTTACACACACATTTTTAACATTATATATATATATATATATTACACACACACACACACACACACACTTCCTGCCAGTTTAAAATCACCCTGTATCAATCACTTAGCAGATAAAAATGAAATCTGACTACATCCGTGACACAGCCCTAGAGATGGGTGCTAGAGGAGGGTGGGCAGGGTGCCTCTGAGAGTTCGCCTGCACCTGTTCCCCGCTGTCACCCTCAGGTCCCTTTTTAAAACTCCCGTCTCCTAAGCATCCGCTGTAAGCAGCGTCTCTGTCTCTTTTCCGCGAAGACCCCACGGTCGCGGCCACAGGTGCCCGGCGCTGAGTGCCAGCGCCCACGTGCTCAGCGGAGGGGCTCCGCGGGCGGCCCGCGTGGACGCCGAGCGTGCGGTGTGCCGCGGCGTGCGCCCTGCTCCCCGCGTCCGCCTGTGCAGGTGCCCCCGGTGAGCGCGCGCGCGCGGAGTTTTGCCTCAGGCGTCCCTGAAGATGCAGCTCGGGTCCAGGTGCCACAAAACGAACAAGCCCCGCCCCAGGTGAGTCCCAGCGAGTGTGCGTTCCCCGCGGTCCGTCCCGGGGAGCAAGGGTACCAGTCCCCAAGAAGACAGTGTAAGTAGAGGTCACTCACCGACTCAGCGGACGCGTCCGGGATTCCCAAACTCTACTCCCTCCTCCTCCCTTCACGCAATCTAACCGCAAAATTCCACCGCCCTTCTAAGTAACTGACGGTTCTCTGAACCAATCAGCGCAAAGATCCCAAAAGAAACTGGACCAATGGTATACGATCGGGGTATGGCTTTTGCTTCCCGCAGAGCGTCAGTGGGTAATGTAGTCTTCCGTTACTAACCCCGGCCACAAAGCGCAAGGCTTCCTGGGAGGTGTAGTCTCTTGGCGCGAGAGAGCGCGCAAGTTCCGGGCGCTTCGGAAATAGGCGTGTCGCAAAGTCGGAAGGGCCCCACCTTCAAGGTCCGGAGGCTCAGTGTTGTGTGGACGGAAATCACCCTGAGGGGTGTGAAAGGTTAGGGCGTGCTGAATTTGATCTTCTTAGTCCCGGAATCCAGATCTCTAAAATCGGAAATGATGGCGGGAAGCCTACCAAATTGCTAGAGGACGAAGGAAGGAAATAGATGGTCTCTTATGATCAGAATGTATAATGGAGATTTTCACCCATAAAGTTTATTATAAGTAAATTGATGTTATAAAGATATTAGCCGGGCGGGGTAGCACATGCTTGTAATCCCAGCACTGGAGAGGCCGAGGCAGGAAGATGGTTGCGAGTTCGAGGCCAGCCTGAACTGCATAGCTAAACCCTGCCTCAAAGAAATACATACATAAATAAATAGACACAGAAAATGTAGAAAGGGAGGGGAAAGGACTCTCGATGTTCTCTCTTAAGCACTAGCATCAGGCTGCAGGACAGAACTTTCTCCTGGTTTTTTTTGTTTGTTTGTTTTTTTTAATATATAATTGAGGGTTTTTTGTTTGTTTGTTTGTTTTGTCTTGTTTCAGTGTTGAATTGAACCAAAGATCTCAAACATGCCAGGCAAGGACTACCATTTAATTACATCTTTTTTTTTTTTTAATTTTTTTTAATTTTTTTTTATTTTTAGGGAAGGGTTTACTGGGTGTTCAAGGTCTCACTACTAGATCGGATTCGTAGTGATTCTCCTGTTTACAGCCTCCCAAATTACACCTTTAAATTACACCTTGAACTCTTTTTATTTTATTTTGAGATAGGGACTTGCCAAATTGCTGAGGCTAAACCCGGAACTGTGGTGCACAACTGTAATCTCAGCACTGCAGAAGTTAAGACAGGAAGAGCACTCTGAGTTTAGGCCAGCCTGCCCTACATACTGAGTCCAAGGCCAGCCTGAACTACACAGGGAGACCTTGCGTCAAAAAAAGGTTGCCCAAGCCATCCTTCGTCTTGAAATCCTACCTTAGTCTTCTGAGGAATAGCTGGGATGATAAATATGCACCACCTCACTTGGCATTTAATTGCGTTTAAAAAAAGCAGATTAATTGCATTTTTTAAGATAATTCTTGCTTACAGCTTTAAAGCATTTTCATTGTGGAAATTGTCAAACATGCAAAAGTAGGAAGACTAACCTTCTGAACTCCCATTTGGTCACTAGCTCTATTAGCAACACATAGGCAAGCTTGTTTCCTCTACCTGCACCTACCGCAGACTGTCCTCTAAACTATTTTGAAGTAAACAGCAGACATTCAATTTTCTCTACTTAACATTTCTGTAGATACCTCTAAAAAACAAGCATTGACGGGGCCTGCGCCTTAGCTCTGTTCTTTAAGTGGCTGCTTCAACAAAGCTGTCAAGCTCAGGTTGCTGTGGTTAGACCCCCACAACTCAAGCCAGCCAAACCTGCCCTGAAGGCATGCGGAGCCACCCCCCCACCAAAAAAAAAAAAAAAAAACCAAACAAAACAAGCATTGTACCAGGTGTGCTGGCATGTGCGAGTTTCTCTCCTTCTCTCTCTCTCTCTCTCTCTCTCTCTCTCTCTCTCTCTCTCTCTCTTTTGTGGAACCAGGGCTTGAACTCAGGCCCTTGTGCTTGCCAGGGAAGCACTTATTCTACTGAGCCATCTCGCGGGCTCCTGTTTCTGGTTTTGAGACAGGGTCCCACTCACTAAATTGTCACACTTAGAGTCAGACTTGCAGTCCTGCTGCCTCAGCCTCCCAGAATGCTGGGATACTGGGTAAGCCATTATGCCCTGCAATGCTTTCTTTAGTGTACGTGTGTACGTATGTACGTATGTGTGTATGTGTGTGCACATGCATGTGTGTATCACATATGTGTGCATGTGTGTATGTACAAGTATTGTGTATTAGTGTGTGCGCGCTCGCATATATTTGCAGCACTGAGGATGAGACCCAGGGCCCCTTGCATGCTAGGCATGTGCTCTATCACAGAGCTACCCTCCCAGTCCCCTTCCTCTACCCTTTTTTGAGACAGAATCTTGCAATGTTGCTCATGCTGGCCTTGAACTCCTAGGCAGTCCTCCAGGGGTGACAGAAGGACTTCAAGTGCTCCTCCTGCCTCAGCCTTTCAAGGAGCTGGAACTACACTACAACTCCATGCCTAGCTAATAATTTTTTACAGTATATTTTATTTATTTATTTTTTTAATTTTTTTTGGCAGAACTGGGGCTTGAATTCAGGCCCTTGTGCTTGCCAGGGAAGCACTTATTCTACTGAGCCATCTCCCCGGCCCCCAACAGTATATTTTAATAATTGCTCTGTTAAATCTTTTTACAGTATTGTTATTTATTTATTTTATTCTTTTGAGACAGGATCTCCTGGTCAACTATTCAACATGGAGGTGGAGGTCGATAAGCTAGAACCAATGTTCCAGAAAGCTGAACTCTGATCTGGATTATATTCAGTACAGGCTGGAATATGAAATCAAGTCTAATCATCATGATTCAGCAGGAGAGAAAAATCCAGGCACGCTCTTAAAGGAATAAAGTCTCGATATCAAACTTTGTTGTTTTTTTTTAAATGTTATTTATTTATTTATTTATGTGTGTGTGTGTGTGTGTGTGTGTGGCAGCTCAGCCCACCAGGGGGCGGGGCGGGCTGGCATGTGGTGCTGGGGGATTGAACAGCAGTCCCTGTGCTTTGCTAAGCTTGTTCTAAGTAGGTGCTTTAGACCACTGAACCATCCCACCAGCCCCTCGATATTAAACTTTGTATGCACGTTTTAAACCTGTTGCTATTGAACAGAAAGAGACTAAGAGCCACATTTATACTACTTTGAATAAAACTATGACCATGATAGAACTACAAAAGCAAACAGACGTGGAGCAGTTACCACTGACTGAGGAAGAAAAAACTGGAACAGAACAGTTAAAATCTCACATGCCACACTTATGGAGAAATGGAACTGCAAAAGAGAACTGTAATGAAGAAGAGATTTATTCCAGAGAAATACAAAAAGATGTCTTGTTAATACTTCTTTTTTAAAAAATTTTATTTATGTGTGTGTGTGCGCGTGTGTGTGCGTGTGTGTGTGCGTGTGTGTGTGTGGCCAGCTCAGCCCACCAGGGGGTGGGGCTGGCTGGCATGTGGAGCTGCCATGTGGCATGTGGCATGGGATTGAACCGCGGTCCCTGTGCTTTGCTGAGCTTTTTCTAAGTATGTGCTTTAAACCACTGAGCCATCTCACCAGCCCCTTGTTAATAGTTCTTGAGGGGCCAGGGAGATGGCTCAGTGGAATAAGCGCTTCCCTGGGAAGCGCAAGAGCCTGAGTTCAATCCCCGGTCCCGCCAAAAAAAAAAAATTTTTTTTTGAGTATAGGTGGGGGAGTCAAGGAGGAAGAGGAGGAGGCTTGGTTTGGGTGACTAGGGAGTGATGACTTTCATAAGAGAAGAATTAAGGGGGGCCGGGGAGATGGCTCAGTGGAATAAGCGCTTTCCTGGCAAGCGCAAGGGCCTGAGTTCAATCCCCAGTTCCGCAAAAAAAAAAAAAAAAAAAAAAAAAAGAAGAAGGGCAGATATTAATAAAACTCAGCTAAAGGGTGGAATGGAAGTAAAAGTATATATATATGTAATTTTAATTAAGGAAGTCCCTTAATTTTGTACCTGTTTTCATTTTGTATTATTGGGGTAATAGATGCTTTGGCTTATCATAAAAGAATGTACACTTTAGTCTGTCATTGAGTGAATGAATGTGCTTTGGGAATTAAAGTATACTATGAGAGAGAGAGAGAGAGAGAGAGAGAGAGAGAGAGAGAGAGAGAGGATTTCCATGTGTAGTCCAGGCTGGCCTTGAACTCACAGCCATCCTCCTGCCTCATCCTCCCCAGGGCTGGGATTACAGGCATGCGCCACCACACGGGGTTACTGTGCCTGAATTCTAAAGTAAAAGTTGTCGTCAGTATGTGTGTGCAGGCAAACCCCAAAGTATATAAAGGGGTGGTTTTAGCCGTAGTGTCAAGGCACCGCCCCCCAGGGGTCGTGGCTTGCACGGGGCCGATAGGGGGCGCTGCTGTTCTTTGCTCTGGCGCCGGGTGGGCACAAGTTCACACTTGAGGCTAGGCCTCCCTAGTGGCCGTTGAGCGCGCAATCCCGTAGGGACCTTGGCCCCTGTAGAGCGAGGCGTTCTCGAGGACCCCCAGATCCTAGGTGGTGGAAAGGCCACAGGAGTGCCGTAGCCTGGCCACGGCCAGCGGGGCCCTGCGACGCGCGGTGCAGCCTCGGGGGACCCTCCAGCTCGGGTGGCAAATGTGTGGGCGAGCTGGGAGAGGGCAGCGGCTGCAGGTGCCTGCGCGCCCGGGCTTGGGTGCTACTGGCTCTAGTTTTTGCATACTTAAGATCTGGTCATTTTCATCTGCAGTTAAATATATTTGGTAAATCATGTCATGTGAAAAGAAAAACCTGAAAGTAACGGTTCCCGTCAGCTTGGGGAAGTGAATCCTGCTGTGACTTCATCGCACTTACCCTCAACGATCTATTCAGAGCTCCCTCGGACTTCCCCCGCCTCCTCTGAGCAGCAGATACTTCTTGGCCTGACCATGTAGAGGGGCGTCTAGCAGCTGCTGAGGTGAATGCTGCGAGCTGGTCCGCCGCGCTGCCCGATGGAAGCCGGTGCGGTTGGTATATCTTTGGCAAGACTGTTCTTAAAAAAAAAAAAAAAAAAATGTTTTCAAGATTTTTTTCTGTACTGTAGTTTCTTATCCGTAAAGATAAG